AATAAAAAAGAAGTTGAATAAAGAGGTCGGGGCCATCTGAGGCAGAAAGGAATAAGAGAGGGAGATCAGAAGACAAGTGAAATTCCACCAACAAACTCAAATCTGCCAAGGTTCTGCACTTGGTTCTCAGAGGGGTTGGTCTTGCTGCTTCCAGTTATTTTGTTTGAATTTTTTTCCCAGATTTTTTTGTTCTTGCTATGTCTCCAACATCCCTATGTGCCAATAAAACAAACAAAAGATTTGTAACATTTAATCCCAATTCACCTCAAGGTCTTATAGCCTAGCGGTCTCCATTTAGGTTTTCTGTTTACTGTACTGATGTGTGCTTGTTTGCTTCCAGCTCATACTATTTTGTCACCATGAAGGGCAAAGATGGCCACTTCATTACAGCTTCCACCAAACTCAAACGTGAAGGTTGGGGAAGCATACATTTCTTCTTGTGAAAGTAGAAAAAAAATCATTTTTTCTTGTAATGGTTGTAGTGTCAAAAAATAAACAAACATAATACAAAAAAAAAGCTATCATATGGTTGAGAAAGAGAAAAAACACCAACCTAAGGCTGTAACAAGGGGTAACCCAAGGCCTGATCCCCGGGTATCAGGGCTCAGACCCTGAACCCCTGGGGTTTTTTTTTTGAACAAAGATACAGCAAGATATCTATTTCTGGAGATGCAGATATCCACCCATTCTTTTATATAATTTTTATCTTGAATCCCCACCCCCTTTCTTTCCTCCTGATCCTTCAAAACTCATCGCAGCTGCTCCAAATTACTTCACTTCTGCCACAATATTGCAGTCCCTCAAGGCAATGCAAAAAGACCTTGCTTAACTGCCTACAGTTGACATGCAGCACGCTCCAGCCAAGCTATCCAAACTCCACCTGTTTGCATGTGTAGACTTTTTGGCACAATGACTGTGCATTTGTTGAATGTACTCAACACAAACCAACACATTAGCAATGTGTAATTGGGTTGATGATTATAGCATCACTCATGAATGCTGAGGTTGTGGGTTCAAATCCCACAGTACACAACCTTCCTTTTCACTTGTTCAATAGGTGGGAGTGTAACCCATCTTTAGTTGTCAGTTTCAGAGATGTGGCATAGCTGGCGCTAGATAATTGTTCCTTACTTGCGGGGAAACAAAAGAAGCATGGACACAGCATATGAGTGCGTGTCTCCACATTACATGCAGATGATCATGATACAAGTCCACATCAAGAAATTTTTAGGTCACCTCTGATGAGTGAGAACATCCTTTCGCAACATTGTGAAACTCAGGACTCTATAGTGATCAATGTTGTCGACGCCGGCACCTCAGTATATATTAGCACCGCTGGGCCGTTTCATTGATGGACGGTGCTAAAGAGTACCAAGATATATTTCATGAGTCGCCCGGGGTCTTTGTATGGTCACACCGAGTTTCAACCAGGAGCTAATACTAGCCCGGGTCACGTAGGGCCGTCGTCAGCAAAGTCCGATTTGAGTTTATCCCCTCCCGCCAGCCAATTTAGCTGGGGGACCTTGCTGACATATAACTTCAGAAGGGCTATATTCTAGCAACGTGAACCGGGCTATTAGAACAGGATATTGGTTCTGTTCCTTCTTGGAGGTGGGCATGATATTCTGCCTCTGGTACAGCACAGCATAACAAGAATGACAGCGGTTGAAACTTGCCGGTCGGGCGGAGCTCCGCTTTCCCTTCTTGAGTGATCCCCTCAATGTGGGGCGCACTAGCGAATTAGAGTGCAATGGTTATGGGTGCCGTCGCACAGGCTCACAGAATGGAGTCCTCCCTTATTCGAAGACATCATTTCCTTGGGCATAAATAGGGCCGCTCGTTTAGCCCCATCTTGAGCATCATATCGCAGTGAAAATCGCACCAAGATTAGTTCAAAAAAAAAAAAAAAACTATTACAACATTACAATATTCTCATACATTGGATGATGATGATTCTTAAATCGCCCTTTTTGGTCCTTGTTGCTAGCTGGATTGGAACATTGAGTCTCTTCTCCACGGGGGGGAGGGCCCAGTCCGTGTGTGCCAACTGGTGGAACAGCTTGGCTCCCAGCCAAAAACCGACCAGCATCACGGTCAAACTAAGGGTCAGCAATGCCTTCAACATGAAAAAAAAACTCTAGATTATTCTTAAATAACTTTGCCTTCTTCGTGACAAATTCGTTGCTAATGGGACATGATGGGCTCCACGAACTTACTGATACATTAGAAACGCACCGATGGTGCCCCAGGCCGTATCGACGGCTCCCGGGCCGGTCGCCAAGTGCGTCTTTTCTCTCGAGTCTGATCAGGCTGAACGAGTATCCAGGAACCTTTTATCTCATGAAACTTCGCGCAAAATTTCTTCTTACGTTTCACAAACCGATATGTCAACTTTCAGACTGCTTTCCTAACTCCAGGGACTGGCGTTAGTTTTTTTTATGAATAAAAAAGTCTACCTCCCGTTTGGTTGATGATAAGAGACCATAACATCATGCTTGGCCGGGGATAACATATAGGCTTGTGGCATAACTTACACCGACGATGATCACGGCGCGTGTTTGTGGGGCGGACGCAACGCAGTTGAGCCTCCACCCGACGGCCAGCAACCAGGCTGGGTTTCTGGGTAAGTCATACATAATACAAACAGAAACGTACCACTGAATGTATAGCATGTGATTAATTTGACTAATTTGTCCCATGGTGCTTTTCCTGTCGCTTCGGTCTCATCTTCAAGATCATTCACTGAAAACTGCGGTAAAAAATTGTGAGCCTCTTCTTGTCGAGGTCACTTGCGAGTTTGATGATCTATGAGTGCTTGGAGAAGCATACGCTCATCTGTTTCTCCTAATTTTTTCTAATAAAAAGCTATATCAATAGAGGAGGGCAACAGGCAAAGGGAAAAGTTGTTGATTCATGTTCGTTTGATGATGGGGAAAACATGACGGTTGAGCAAGGCTGCTCCTCCATTTACGTGACCCGTGCCGTGAGTAAAAATTCTATTAACGGATTTTGCCAACCTTTCCACACAAACCCAGCATGCCTCACTTTTCCTAAATTCAATTTCTACTTCCGCAGACTTTTATCGCTTTAGGTGGAGACCCTAACGGCACCGGCCGGATCCAAGTGGACAATTGGGACTTGTGAGTCTCTTCTGCAAGCTCATGCAGCCCTCTTGATCCTCTCTTTTTGTTTTAAGTGGCATGGGCTGGGGTTTTTTTCACTAACAAAAAGTTCCCATTATCATCTTCATTCACCTTTTGAAAAGTGATGCAAGTACCCCTCCTCAATGAATGAACCAGTGGTACCACTTTGCTCTCATTTACTCAAGTCCTCTATACCCCAGAGAATGCATTCACTGCACACAGGGACCTCCTAAATATTGACCAATGTGCTTCAAATTCTGTTCTGCTACTGTTGTGAGCAGTTGAGTGGACTCTCAGATGTGTAGAGCCTATCATGTACATGTCACAGACCTCATACCTATAGTGCGCAGGGTTAGAGGTCCTGACCTTTCCCTCATCCTGCAATCAATCATAAAGGATCCAGAACCCCAAAACCCCAGAGTCTATCTTTCTCTCCCTAGAGCCAACCATAAAAGTTACACTAACTCTTATCTTCAATTTTTTGAAATCTGTTTATTCAATGAGTTTTTTTTGGCCTCTCAAGTCTGTGTGCTTCATGAAAATTAACTGCTTGAATGAAGGGTTAAATTTGAAGAGACTTGTTTCATCTTCTGGTACCATGCCAAGTTTTAAGTCAAAACATGTGAGGTGACGTGAAGGGAACAATTTGATTCTGGCTCTACTCCCTTATTTTTGATCTATGTCCTTAGGTTTTCCTTTCACTTGTGAGTCAAGTCCTTCTGCCATGGGCTTGTTAGGCCTAATGATGTGTAGTGGCTGAGCCACTGGTACACTCAGCCAAATCATAAGTCCTCCTCAGGAGTTGCTTTCTGAGTCTAAACCTGGCCAACCAACTTCCCTTGCAAGCAACCATTCTCAAATTAAGTGTAATTTATTTCTATCTTTCACTCTTCCCTGCTTTTATTATATTGTTTAAAAGGCTACCTCCTCTTTGTCTTCTCTTTGTTATCTTCAGCTGACCTGACTCACATTGTATCCCTTCTCTACTCCCCAAGGTTGTGCTTAATTATATGATCTCTTCTACCCACCTGTCCAGCCACTCAACATTATCTATCCTTGCTCCTTGCTCATCTTCTCTGGTCTTCCCAGGCTATCTTGCAATCACTCAATTTTTAACTGGATGGACAAGTGTTCCAATCAGTGTCTAAACTTCATTGGTCTATACAACAAAAAAAACATACTTTATCCTCAAGGCGGCACTATCATATCACAATGCATACTCAATTCAACCTCAAGCACCCCACTGGATCCCAGTATTTCACAGGTCTGCTGCATGCCTGCACTTGCTCAATCAAGCAAACTCACCCCAGACCCCTCAAACAAAAATCCCCCTCACATCCCCCCCTCATGCCAACTCAAACCTCACAAATTACCATTCACAGACAACCTTCCTAACCCAAAAACCTGGTTTAAGTGCAACCGGGAAGATTATGGAGAAGGGGATCATGGATGAGGCCAGCCTGGCATTGATCAAACACCACTGAGCAGGTTTTTATGGTGCTTGAGCATGGCTAAATTGCACAAATGCTGATTTGATGCTCAGGCCCAGCCATTTTCAGCAAGCCCCAGGAAAAGGGGCGCTTGACTCGGTTGTATATATATATAATTTACTACATAATATACCAGTGAGATAATATTTTTAATAAAAGGGAACACCAGGAACAATCAATAAGCACCTGATGACAGGTGAAATGAGGCTACTGAATTGATTCAATTCAGTAGCCTGGT